GCAAAGATTTTAGATAAGAAAAAAACTATATCAAAAAAGTTGATCTGCTGGTACAACTTTGATGGAAAGTTCTTAACAAATAAATAAACCTGATACCAAATAGAGCTGTATGTAATTACACATTATTTCTTTCTCATAGCAAGCAGTGAATATATGAACTAATGTATTTAGAGAGGAACAGTAAGAGGTTACTAAAAGGATATGTGCTATATCTTGGTCAGACCAGATAGAATGTATTGCTCCACACACAGTTTGCTCCATCTTGCATCATTTTGCTCAGCAGTGTCCCTGCTGGAACCAGTGAGATTCTCTGCAGGAGAAAGCATCTTTTGTCCATCCTCTTTCCTTTCTAAAAGCAAGCTAACTTTCAGCTCGGCTTGGGAGCGTGCACTCTGTAGTGTATTCTCTGATGGAGGAAGTGTGTTTTAGGAGACTCCCAGCACCTATGCCCAGGTGCTTTTTCCCTCCTGCATGCCACCTCTCCCTGCCTCTCAGCAGTGGTCTGGCAGCTGGAGCTATGCTGTGAACTGAGCTAGAGAAACTGCTGCTTCGAAATACAAGGCCTGGGTTTTGTGGTTTTGTTTTTTTTAAATCCTTGAGTCATGTCACTGATCTATTTTATGGAGAGCTGTACAAGCAATAAAGTTAGCGGGCTGAGGAGGATCAAGGTAGTGATAGGCAGCATCTTCTTCAGTCAGACTTGGAGCTGGGGAAATTATGGGCTGCAACTGCACACTTCCATAGCAGCTGCAGATTACAACATCTTTGACTGTCGTTCTCTTTATTTGTTTTTTAACTTTTGGATCTGCTCAATGGACAGGTAGTCAGATAAGGTTGTAGCTTCTTTTTCCTTGTCCCAGAAAAGCAGCAGTAGCTCATGAGTAGTGTTGGGAACACTGAACGTCCTATCCAGGTGGTAGTAAGGGCCATTGAAGTCTGTCAGCTGGCCTGTCTGAGGAGAAAGGAGAGCTGTGGTTTTCATATGCAGCTTTTGTTTCCCTTTTCATGCTTTAAGTACTTTCCTAATTATTGCTAGAAGAGCTTGAGAAATTTTGTCGTGTTGTCAGACATGGTAGGGCTTAAACATCACCTCGATGAGCTGCTGGTAGGGAGTGAACTAAACTGTCTGGTGACTCTGAATGACTCTTCTGTCTCGCAAAAGGCAGCTCAGAAGTAAAAGGCCAGTTCAGGATGAGTAAATATGCCTTTGCTTGAACTTTCTGGCATCATGTGAAGTTGTCTTTCCGTGTGCTGTGCATTGCTTGCAGAACTGCAGAGTTGAAGCTGAAAGTGTTGCATGCTGTGCCTGGCGCTGGGCTGTGTGTGTCCCTGTCTGCAGCAGTTGCCTCAGCTTCTCTGCCATTAGACAGCCAGCTCGTGGGCAGAGATCAGCCCCAAACCCATGCTCGTACTTGGCTGATGAGTAAATCACCATTAAATATAGTGAGATCTAAACCCCCAGCTCAAATCAAGGTCCCTGTACATAAGTACTGGAACTAAGTCTTGTGATTCATATGTTATATAAAAATAAAAGCAAATATTTTGAACGTCAGTTTACTTTGAAGTTTTTTAAAGGTTGTGAAAGAAAATTCTTGTAGTAAGTTTAAAACTAGAACACTCAGAATATGTAAAATACAGTTGTAAGAGGATTTTATGTTCATCTAAGACAAGCATCTCAGGTTTTTCCAGTGAGAAGTTTTACGTTGGAGGCTGTCTCCTTGCCTGCTGAGGTGTTCTTCCCCTTTGGCATATTTCTTGCCTAGGTGCCTTACTTTAGGCAATTCATTATCACCATTAATAACACGATGCAACATTCCTCTGCTTATGCTTGTGCTTCAGAGCTTTTCTCTGTTGCAAGCATGGTGCCATTTTCCTGCTTTAATGGTGAGAAAAGGTACTGCATGGCTCCAGTCTGCTCTATGGTCTGCTCAGTAGACTGGACCTGAGATCAGGTGATCTTATGTGGGAGCTCTGCATTTTTGCCTGTGGCCAGTGCAGGGGAGATTTCGACTGTTGAATGAGTGATGGGAGAGTTATCTTCAGTTCCCAGCTTCCTAAGCCATCAAATTCTCCTAACTGTGAGTACAGTGCCATGGCCAGGGTCTGTGACTTTGTTATAAACTGCATCTGAGCCTTGGAAGGTTTGAATTTGTGAGCTAGAATTATAATTGCTTCACTTACTTAAGCCTTTTCTGATACTACTTTTCATGTGAAGAAAAAATCCTTTGCTTAATTGTTTCTCTAGAAAGCCAACATTGACTTTCAATAAAATTTTCTGTAATAAATTTTGCCTTTTCTGCTCTGCACCTCATGGTTTGTAGTGAAATACAGAATTTGGCCCATTAACTTCAAAAGAAATTGTGGTTTCAGTAAACTTCAGGACTAGATTGACAGCATTTGTTGGCATGCATTTTGACAGTGCATGATTGTAAACTGGAAAGATGAGGCAGTTTCACCATTTCAAGAGGCAATGCCTGTGACCTTCTGGTCTTTGTTTAGCTTCTTCTCTGTTTATGCCTGTAATTGGTTTTAGTGTATGTGCTAGTGGAAGTGAGAAATTACTGTTTGACAGAAAGAAGTACAGTAGAAAAATGAAACAAGAAGACCTTGTCTGCACTTGCCTGCAGTCCTTCCTTTTGACTCTGTTACAATCTACAAAACTTTGGGTTTCATGTTGGTCTCTGTTACTGGCAGTTTCTTATACAAGTATGTGTTTCTGTAAATAAGTATATGGGTTTTTCTTATAACAAAGCTAGTTATATAAGCCTAGCTACCATCCAGCCCTGCCTAATCAATGTTAAGAGATTGAGGCGTTGGTTGTATGGATGGTTTCTGCAGCAAGCCAGATGCTCCAAATCCAGCACTCCAGAGTACGTACTGCAGTACTAAACATGATGCAGCCAGCGTGTGGGCAGTCACAGAGTGCCTCTTGTAATACCAGTTCATACACTTCACTTTGGGAAAGCTGGTTCAGGTGTCCACACTCTTCCTCCCCCTCTTCTTTTAATTAAAAGAAGTTGAGCAAGACAAACTTCAGCTTTCATTTCTCTGACATGTTTTCCATGTCAGAGAAGGTCACCAAGAGAGGAGGCAGCAAAACACAAGCTCTGTAAATACTGAAGGCTGAAGGAAGGAAAAGGGTCTGACAGAGTTTTTACTTACGGAGCTAGGGCTTGCCAGAGGAATGCTTTGGCCTTTTTAAAATGTCCATCCATCACTCGGGTACTGTTCACAAAAAGTAAAAAGTGATGTGCCTCACTGAAGGAAGTTCAGTGTGTGTGTCTGCAAGTTTCAGATACAACTGTAAGACCTCAGTTTGCAATGCTCAGTCTTGAATTCTTTCCAGATGTTTGTTTGTAGCAGTCCATCTGCTTTTCTATGCTTGATGTAGTTAATACTGCAAATAGCAAGAAAATACTATTGCGATTCATTTGGCACTTGAAATACCTCTGTGCTTACAAAATTCTAGTCATGGTAAGGTCTTTAGAAAGGCATCTTGGTTCTGGGAAGCAATCATTTTCACTTGATAGCTTTACTCTGACATTGATTACTGATTGCTTTTTCTGTGTTATACAAAAAATGCCTTTATTCAACGTAGAATATGCCATACTTTTTTATTAGCACAATATTTTTACTCATTCACTGGGGCCAGCTTTTTTAATGACAGGTGAGTAAGCTAATGCACATTACCTCCATTTTCATCCCCAGTAAAGATATGCAAAGAAACTGCTTTCTTGGATTGCAGTTTTTATTTTACCCTTTTTAAAAAAAAACATTTTTGCAAGTCTTGTAGCCAGCGTGTAGTTCTGTTTTTGCAGTAGTGAAGCAGTTGTGCTATACATTTTCTAGCTGGAACTGATGATTTGTAGCTGTGCCATCTCAGCACAAGCTGCAAGAAATGCTGGTAGCAACACGTGAGTTCTCTGTTTTCCTAGGGGAACCCTGCAGCTCAGCTGAGGATGGGCATTTTAATAAGGACAACCATTCTGTAGGAGCACAAGAGCTTCCATTGTGCTCATCTGTTTTGTTCAAGCATCAAAAGAAACTTTCCTGCTGCTTGTGTCTGGGTGTTGCAGTTGTATACCAGTATCCTCTTTGATAGTGCCAGGCTGTTTGCAAGTACACCTCAGAGAAAAGGACAGTGAAAACACTCTGCAGGAGACCTGGAGATTTTTAAAAGCACTTTGTATGACTGTTACAGATTGAGACACAAAATTTGATCAGATGAACATAGCTACAAAAAAAAGTCAGTATTTTGCTCCTATGCATGCTATATCCCTGTCACTGAACCTGATCCAGTGAAGGTCACAGTGATGCAGATGGGGATTTATGGTTGGCATCTGTGAAGCAGCTAAAGTGAGCAAAGAGTATATGCACTGCGCGTATTTTCGCTTTTCAGATTCTGTTCTCACCTTGCCCTTGGATATTCCAAGCAACTACTTAGGTCCTTTCTTTCTGGCAGCAGGGTGTGAGCATTTTGGCTGGGATGTCAAGGACAAGCTTTTCCCTCTGGTGTTGAGGTGCTCAGGTCTTGCAGACACCATCCTTCTTGTGCTCTGGGAAGGATGGTTTGCCCACTGCCAGCTGTCTTTTCGAGGCATCCGCTACTATTCTGACTGAGGGTCTCACATTTTGGCTTCCTCTGATTGAGTGAGCCTGTCCATCTATGGCATTAGGGTGCTGGAGAATGCATCACCAGGCATGTTAGTGGGGAAGAAAAGTTGGCTTCTGCTCCTGAAGTGGGTGCTGACAGTAGACCTGTCACTTTAGGTCATCTTGCTCAGGATTTTGTTGAGTATTCCATAAGCTGATCTCTGAAATTCTGGCAGGTGTCACAGCTATGCTACTATAGTCAAGTGCTGGTCGAGAGGAAGAGTTGAAAGTCTGGTCCATTGTGATTGAGTGCTGTTATGTCTGGCAGATGTTACTTGTTCCATTAAAAAGAAAGTGTTGTGTTTTTTTTTTTGTTTTGTTTTGTTTTGTTTTTCCCTCCCTCTTAGGTGGAACGTATTGGGTATTCAAGGAGCCTTACTTAGCCTCTTTGTGGAGCCAATTTACTTCTCTAGCATCATCTTGGGGAGTTTATATCATGGGGATCATCTATCCAGAGCCGTATACCAGAGGATAGCAGAGATAGAAGATCTACCACCTCTTTATACACTCAACAGACCTTTACTTAGTGGCAAGTATCTAATGGAGAAGGCCGTGCCGGTAACTAAGTCTGTTCCAGTAGCAATGTGATTTTGCAGTTCTCAAAACCTCTCCAATTATGTACTGTGAGTAAACTGCTTTCTGGTTACAACAGAGAAGTTGTGTAACAACAAGAAGTAAGCATATGGATGCTCGGTCAGAAATGCCATAGCAAGGACCCTTCCTGATTTAAAAGGTGGAAAGAACTGGGGTTTGGAACCTTTGGACGTAGTTTCACATAATAGCTGCCTGGAGCGTGCCCTAGCAATCTGTGAGGCAAGTTGAAGGCCCTGGCTTAGGGAAGCCTCTTCCCACCCCTGAAATAGTGTGTTAGCTCTCACTGTTGCTTCTCTTGCCATTGCAGATGTTTGTTGAACAGCTACATCATTAATCAGTATACCAAGATAGACACATTTGGTTCACAATTTCTAGCTCAATAACCACCTAAAACTGGATGGAGAGAACATCTCAGCTGCCATTGGTTGTATTTTCTTTCTATCATCGATCTCTGTTTGATGCAGCATTAGCTTTAATTAGCATGGCACCCAACTTGTTTGCATGACCCAGTAATCATAGTATTTTAATTCCCACTCTGTAGGTTAATGCACAAATGCTGCATTTGGAGCCTGCTGGCACATTCTTTGGGAATATTTTTAATAGAATATTGAATGTGTCTGACAGCAATATGGCCAAGCCCCAGCTGGTGTAGTTAGTGGTTGTTTTTCACAGCTGCTCTTGAACACTGCAGGACCGTTCCCTGGCTCTGTGCTGATCCCAGGCTCTAGCGGGGCTGAGGGGAATGGCAGCATTTGCATTAACAAGTCGTCACTTCTCATGGAGCTGTAACTTTCAAAGGAAAGTTCGGAATTGTCTTAAATTCTGAAACTGCTAGTTACAGTAATGCTGTGAAAGCTTTAAACCTGAAATCTCTTATCCTCCCTCTTGGTGTCTGCATTGCTTTGTTCTGCAGAGCTTGGCTTTTTTGGCACGTGTCTGTTCATTTTCCAAGGAAAAAAGGTCAGTCTTTTAAAGCGTGCTTAAAGTTAGACATGAATTTTTAAAATAGATTGAGGGAGGGAGTGGGGAGAAGAACATTGAACAACCAGCCTTTCTTTAGATAGAAAGGTAATTAATAAGGATTCCCTGAACTAGGATGTATTAAAACAGCTAACATATTTGACCTTAGATTAGCACGAAAGTAACAGTTAGAACATTCACAGTGCTAAATATTTAGTATTCTGTGGGCATAGCAGCTGACTGTTTCTGCCTGATTTTTAGAAATTTTCATCAAGAGAACAGGTTTGGGGTGGGGTATTCACCTTGGTTTTCCCCCACTTACACACTTTCCAGGTGTACTCAGAGTCTTCAGCTGTGTTGGCTCTTCCCAAGGAGACCATCTTCATCCAAATGTACATTAAGTCTGTTTTTAAGGTAGACATCAAACAGACAGGCCTTCTGCTCCCTTGGTTTTCTAATAGTGTCATATTGGCCATCTTCAGTTACTAAGGCAGTTTATTTTTTTGAGTTGTCCCCAATATTGCGGCATATACATCTGTGTCCAGTAGAGTGGTATCGTAGTTGCTGCAGCCTTCCTGGTGCAGATGTCATGTTTATTGACTGGTGGTTCTCTGGCACACCAGTTCTGCATTGGCCACCTTTTAAATCCCAAGGAACTTGTGTGGTTTCTGATGAGAGGTCATCTACCATGACTGCTGTTCCTGCTGCCTCATCTTCGGTTTACTCAAACATGGTCGAATATTGTCTGGGTGCCGTAACCGGTGTTTGCTTATTTCATACACATCTACTAGAACTACTTCCACTGGCATCACAGTTGGAGATGTCTCCTCTGGCACCTCTGTGAAGAGGGGCTCTGCCCTGGGAACCCAGCCATCATTTTGCAAAACACTCAGTCGTTCTTTGTACACATGAAGCCTTCAACCACCACAGCAAGTGTGGTTATTATCATAGCTCCAGCACTCCTCTGACTATGTCTACATTTGCATTTTTATTTATTTATTTTTAACAAAGAGAGATCCTTTAGCTGAACATTTAGTCATTTTTTTGGCTTTTTCCTTGGTACCTTTCCCTCCAGTTCACATTAGTGTTTTTCAGCTATATCCTTTTTAGTGAAGCTTTTTTGAGCTTTGTCCTCACAGAACTGTCAAGTTTTATTATTTATCTAAGCACTGGCACAAAGAGCTGTGACCTTTGCTTTTGGTTATTATACCCCATTATAATAATATTCATCAATAAGTTCTGAGCAGTGTTCTCTGAATAGCTTAGTTCTGTCAGTTTGGGAAGGAGAATAAAACATTTTACTTTCTGTCCTTGCTTTCTCTGCCACTACTTGTTTCAGCTTATTGTGCTATGTTTGTGTCTAGATTTTGAGGGAGAAGATATGATCCACCTAAAGTGTTACCAGACGCTTTGCTTTTGAGGTGACCTTTATTCCCTCTCTGTGCTACCTGTGGTCCACCTTCAGTGACTCTTTTGCCATCTCTCCAGGGTTTGTGCAGATAATCAAGCAGCTGAACAGGGTGGTGTTAAAATCTGTTTGAAATTCTGGGGTTTTAAAATTTATTCATCAAAATAACCTAAGGAATGCAATTGCCATGGAAATGTAGTGCCTACTGCATGTTTGGCTTCCTCATCTTTATTTGATTTGCTTGTGAAGTCACACGTGTCTGAGTAGCTGATAGGGCACGAGCAGGCTGAGGGAGCAAACGCTGATTTGCAGTACTCAGACTGTATCTGATCCTTGTACTTGTTCAGTAGTGTGCAGAACGAAAGCAAAGGTAATAGTATAGATATAATGAAACAAAAAATGTGACTGACTCACTTGTCATGTGGTGGGGATTTCTTAGCCCTCTTGCCTCAGTAGTTTTGGTAAAACTGATTTTTGATTAAGACGTTTGTCAGCATGGGTCTGTTTCACATAAGCTTCACCAAAGCAGCCTGACTTCACAAGTTTTTGGAGACTCAAGCTGCAGAAATTGATGAGGACTTTTTGACTCTCATCTTGTCATAAAGACCTGCTTTTGCTGGGTCTTCCTCCAGTGTTGCTTCTGTGATATTCTTTATGGTGCCTGCTCAGCAGGGGCTGTGCTGCCTGCCTTTCAGGTTGATCAGCGTGTGGATCCCAGATCCCATCCTGCTATATTTCAGCTCCTGGATGCATTTGTCCTACAAAAAATCAGAAGAGATCTCTTAAGGAAAACTTTTGTTCCAATTCTCAGTTTTTTCAGCTTTTATTTTAAGAAAATGGGGAGTGGCTGGGTTATTTTCCATTATTTAGTTATTCACTTAATTACTGGTTATCAGTCATAGTGACCAAGTTGACATAAACCAAGTGTAAAAACACAACAGCTTCAGGAGGTTTGATATGACTGATATTTCAAAATGTTTATTTATTAAATGAGGAATTGTTTATAATAAGGAATTTCACTATGTTGTTCAGACCTCGCAGGGCTCGCACGCTTTCACAGGGCTGGGCCCAGAGGTGCTGTGAGGCCCAGGCCAAGTGAGCCAGTCCTGTGCTTGGGTTCCTGAAGTTGGCTTAACTTTGTTTATTAGATAATGTTTCAAGTATCAGCAAGAAATGCATCCTGCGGCAACACTTCTGTTCAGCTTATACAAATTTGCTATATTTTGTGAAGTGTAGGACCTAACCAAACTTGGGAGTAGGTTTGAAATAGGCTCTCAGTGAGAGCTGCATTTAAAGTAAAAATGGGATCTTCACTTTTTAGAAAGAAAAAATTTCCCTATTCCTTTTTTCTCTCTTGGTGAGAAAACTAGGACATCTTAAAGGTAGAGTTTTGCTGCCTCTGTAGTGTCTGCAGGCTCAAAATCAATGTGCTCCTCAGCTTTTCCACAGCACACACAACCTAAACCCCGACTTGTGGCCCTGGCTGCTGCCTGCGAGCACCGAGTGCTGTCCTGCTGCACGTGCAGGAGAGGAGTTGCACATGGATGGCAGCAGCTGCTGTGATCTTCAAGCACAATACTCTGGTCATTATATACAGTGCCTCTCTGCAGCATTAGGGTGCCCTGGAGGAATAAAACCTGCCTCAGGCAGGCTGGGCAGGCAGCTCGCCTTGCTTCACACTGGGATTAGACTGCTGGTGGATTTGCTTTTCCATCAGAAGCTGTATTTGAGAGGTGTGGCACACCCATTTTGAAATGAGATAATCTAAGTTTTTACAACTGCAGAGTGAAAGTGAATTGTTGGGAGAGTTACAACTGCCAAAACCTCATGGTATCTGCTTTTTCCTACGCTCATCCTGCTTCTGAGTTGACTCTGAGAGCAGTGATTTCTTGTGCAGGAGCAGAGCAACTTGTTTTCTGCTTCGCAGTTATTTGCAGGTTAATAATTAGTTCATTGATTTGCCCTGTACGCAAGACCAGATCCTCCTGAGATGGATGTGGCAAAGCACTCATGTTCCTGTCCCCATGGGCCTTTGCCACAGACCTCTCTACCATCCACTCTGCTGTGGAGGCCGGTTTCTCATGGCCCCAGTGATGCATGCTTGCCCTGCTAGGAAGGTCAGAAGGAGAGAGCACTTCAGTCAGCGTGAGAATGAGATGTGCATGGCAATACCACTGTGGGCCTGTGAAAAGTCTGCAGGAGAAGGTCCTCGGAATACAAGACTGCTTTGCCATGTGTGTTTCAGTAGCTCTGCTGTATTGCTCACTCCCCTGTAAAAAAAGAGAAGTCAAGAGTTAGTATTTACTATTGTCATTAAACATTGCTTTTCTTTCAGGTATTAGCAATGCAGAAGCACGTCAGCCTGGGAAAGCGCCAAACTTCAGTGTGAACTGGACGGTAGGAGACGCTGGTCTGGAAGTGATTAACGCCACCACGGGCAAGGACGAGCTGGGGCGCGCGTCTCGCCTGTGCAAGCACGCCCTCTACAGCCGCTGGCTGCGCGTCCACGCCAAGGTGCGTCTCCCAGGGCGCTAGACTGTACACTCCTTCCTGCTGCTTTCCCTGGTCAGAAGCTACTTTTAGAGCCTGCTTTAAGCTGAGCCTGACGTTAGCTACTGCTCCATGTAGTAATGGAACAGAAAAATGCTTTTGTTTAGCTTACTCTCTAATTTGATGTTGGCTGGTCCAAAACGCATGCAAGAATCTAATAATCATTGGTTTATAGCTAAGTAAACGATGGGTGCCGTATCCTTTGAGCTTGCTTTCTCATCTTAATTATTTGGAAGAACAATCCCAGTTTCACTGAGATCGAACAACCTGAAGTTTTGCTCTGTCCTGTGAGAAAGAAAAGCTACGAGAAAGCATCTGTCAGTGGCTTTTCAGTGTTTAGATTTCTTCCCTCGAAGGAAGGTGATAATCTAGAGCAAGCAAAAAGCAGATTGAGCTGTGATGGCTGCAGGGAGAAGAACTGTGTACTTGTCTCTTTTTTCCTTAACATCTGGTTTAGTCATTTGTTACCTTGTTTAAATGGTAGTTCTTTTAATAACTCAGTCACTCTCAAACTGTTGGGCTTAATAATTTGTCTCTTCTTTGCTCGTCTTTAATCCACACAGCTTTCCTGCAGCTTGCGCTCGAAGATCCTCAAGCCTAACCTGTACCACGACACCAAACAAGGAGCCACTGAGTATCAAACTGCCAAAGAGTGCTTGTTTAAAGCGTTCCTGAAGGCAGGACTTGGAGCGTGGGTGGAGAAGCCCATAGAGCAGGATCAGTTTTCTCTCACGGTCTAATTCACAGACTGCACATCACTTTGGAAAAGGGGTGGTTCTGGAAATTCCTGGTGTCCAGCATTGCTTTCTGGCATCTCCACAGCCATCAAAACATCTTTTTACCATTTGGAGTTTTTCGTGGGGTTTTTTTGTTTGTTTGTTTTTTTGGTTTTTTGTTTTTTTTTTTTTTTTTTGTTTTTTGTTTTTGTTAAACTTCATAGTTACTCTTTCTGTTTTGCCTGAGTATTGAAAATTGATGATGATCTGACACAATTGTATATGTTGTTACGGGAAGGTCATTTGTTGTGCATTTTTAGAAATACTTTTACTGTAGAAAACTTGCAGTAAGGCTGCCCTTAAAGTACACAATGACTCATTTTTTCTGGGTTAAAATAGTTTCTTCAGTGTCATCAAGTGCATGAAGAAATGGAAGTTTCTCTAGGTTTTACACCACACTTTTAGGAAGCAGCTGATATTTTTTTTTTTTTTTAAAAAAAAGAAAATAGGTGACAAAGCTGATTCTACTCCTCTGTTAACTTGTTTTTAAACTGCAGGTATTTCTAGCATCTAGACCACAGAGCCAGAATGGAGTGTGGACAGGTAGTTTTCCCCCCCTTTCCTTGCTCTTTAAAAACAGCTGCTGAAAATCTTGTCTTTGATGTATGTATTTATTAGTCTGTGATCCAGTTTTTAACATACAGCTTTTTATTCTGTTTTTAAAAATACATTTACCTCCCATTTACACACTTTGTGAGGTCTTCATTTTTTTTACCATTATGAACTGGAAATAGCAGAATAATTTTTTTTAAAGTTAAGAAGCTTAGTCAACAATGTGCAGAAACCTGTTTAGGAGTATGTCATTTGTATATCCCAGGAACTCATCAGAAAACAGTAGCAACTGTAACAGTAATATGACAACTTTAAGAAAAAAAAAAAAGAAATGCTCATTTTAAGGGCACTGAGCCTGAATTGCCAAAACCAGTCACTTGTTGGGTATTAATTTCCCTCTTCTTGGAAACGAAAAGCTCTTGTATGGACAAAAAGTTGTTAAAACTTGTTTCCTGTGAGTTATATCTGCTTTCACCCAAGTTGTGTCTCTGAGATTTCATTGCCTTTTGGCTTTATATATGTGATGGACTTCATGAGGCTAATTAAGTTGCTTTCAAACATGCTTTTGTTTGTTTTGATGGTTACTTAGAAAAGTGTTTTTCCTAAAGGTGTAGACACTTCTCCTTCATGTAAAAATGTAAGATAGAAGGGAAATGCTGTGAGATCAGTTTGATTAACTGGTGTATAGAAGGAGTTTTTTAAAACAGTTGTTGGTGTGTGATGTTTTGGAGTGGCTGGGACCGTGTCCGGTGGCACTGCTCTGCTCACACGGCAGGCACAGCCTGTGGCTCCTGCCCACCCCCGTGTCAGCTGTGCTTTCTGAAAGCACTCACACATCCGCTGTGTTCCCTGTGCAAACCATGAAGGGGCTGTTTCGTGACATGGGAGTTCACCTGACAAGGCCAAGTGGATATACCACTGCTCCAGCTTCTGGTTCCTGTTCCTCTGCTCCATGTCACCACCCCGTGCCTGTGCTGCATGGGACATCAGATCAATGGGCTGGTCTGTGCTTTGAAGTTGAGTCAAGGGTTGCTTTTAGACGCACAGGGAAGTTGTGCCGGTGCATCTGCAGGGGTAGTGGAGTGCAGCGTGGGTCCCTTCCACTCCCCTGATGAAGTTCAACGAGGGCAAGTATAGGGTTCTGCACCTGGGGAGGAATAGACCCCCACACCAGTGCAGGTGAGGGCTTGACCTGCTGGAAAGCAGCTCCGTGGAGAAGGACCTGGGAGTCCTGGTGGACAACAGATTAACAATGAGCCAGCAGGGTGGTCTTGTAGCCAAGAAGGCCAATGGTCTCCTGGGGTGCATGAAGAAGAGTGTGACTAGCAGGTCAAGGGAGGTTCTCCCCCTCTACTCTGCCCTAGTGAAGCCACCTCTGGAGTATTGTGTCCAGATCTGGACTCCCCAGTTCAAGAGACAAGGGACCACTGGAGAGAGTCCAGCAGAAGCTATGAAGATGCTGGGAGGACTGGAGCATCTCTGTGAGGAGGGAAGTCTGGGAGCCCTGGGACTGTTTAGACTGGAGGAAGACACAAAAGGGATCTGATCAATGCTTTTCAATACCTAAAGGGTGGGTGTCAAGAGGATGAGGCCAGACTCTTGTCAGTGGTGCCCAGTGACAGGATAAAGGACACTGGGCACAAACTGGAACCCAGAAGGTTCCACTTAAATATAAGGAGATACTTCTTTCCTAGGAGAGTGGCAGAGCCCTGGAACAGGCTGCACAGAGAGGTTGTAGAGTCTCTTTTCTGGAGACTTTCAGAACATGCCTGGACACAATCCTGGGCAGCCTGCTGAGTGACCCTGCTTTAGCAGGAGGGTTGGACTAGATGATCTCCAGAGTTCCCTTGTGAGCACTGTCATTCTGTGGTTCAGCCAGCTTCACAGCCAAAGCCTGTGTATCATGAAGCTGTAACTGGAGTTGCCGTACCTCGGCCCCAGCACCTCGGGGAGGGGCTTAGAATATTTTCTTGGGGTGTTGAAGACTTCGATGTAAAACCACTTCTGGCCAATCATGAATGCCAAGGACATTTCCTGGTTCATTATTGCTCAACCCGTTTTCAACTTCAAAAAATGATCAAGCCTGAAAAACACTTACGCATTAGTTGAAGCCTCTGGGTTAGTGTATTGGAAGTAGTGCACTGAGGTGAAAACAATGCATTTTTGGTGATGTTATGGATAATAGTGAACACTGCTGTGGAAAGGCAAGTTTGTGACCTAGCAATCCCCTCAGAAGAAAAATGGTGCTTCCAGAGGTTACTGCCTTTTCTAGATGCCAGAGGAAAAAATGTTGCAAGCTGCAGGCTGTGTTAATTCAGCTTCACTGGCAACTTCAGCCATCCCGTCCACTTCTCAATAAAACCAAAAGTGCTCCCATGGCCTCTGCCAGCCTGACAAGACTTTTTGCAGCCATTATCTGACTGAGGCTTAGCCTGACGTATTCTTAAATTAAAAGGAAATTAATTGTATGTGGTCAATGTGTGCAAGCACTTTAGCATCTGCCTTTGGGATCAACCTTGTCTTGTCCACGTTGCAGAAATTCCGTTGTGGCTGTAGTTGCGGATGTGCATACATTTCTGCAGGATGGAGGGAAAGGTGGTTGCACCATGTGCATTTTCTTGAGATCATTACTGCTCTTAGATGAAATACACGTTTTTAAGCAGCTTAGTCTACTGATAAATGAAGGCTGTTAATAATTTCCAGCAAATTATTTTTAGCCATCTTTCTGAAGTGCTCATTCAAAAGCTGGTGTCTCTCTGGATTCCTTTGATTACTAGGAAAGTATTAGCTCAAACTATTTTTTTTATGAAGTCACAAATATGAGCAATATATTTAAGTATTACTATAGACATAGTTTTTAAGCTGTTTGAATGAACAACTAAAATTCAACTGTAAAGGAAATATGTTCCATGCCAAAACCTTTTGACAAAGGAATGGTGTCAGGTCATTGATGAGGAATGACTTATCTTGTTTATAATTCCAGGATTTTAAAATGTCAGTAGTTTTCCAGGGTTGTATGCAATCCATATCTGTCTTCTGGGAGTCAATAAAATACTGCTTGGCTTCCTTCACTTGCTTGTTCCTTTTTGTGCAGTTTCTACATTGGAAAGAAGTGAGGAGACAGAGTTGTGATTGCTGGTGCTCCCGTATTCCTCACAAATCACCACCACCAAGCAAGAATGGATAGCAATGGATATAATTTTGAGCAACTGCAAAAGATAAGACAACTCAGGTTCCAGCAGCTGCTGGATGTTGTGGCCGACCTTTCTGTTGGGAGCTGCAAGGCTCCACAGAGGGCTGGGAGACTTGTCTGAAAGTCCTGGGCTGGGTGGACGGGAGCTGGCCTGCACAGGGACTTGCAGTGCTGTTCTGGGAGCTGCTTTGGTTCTTTTAATTCTTGTGTTTTACTTATTTTTGATGGAATATGCGTGTTTGTCTCAGGATATTCAAAGGACTTAGGGTAACAACTTTAATGTTGATGAATACTTGAAATCTGATTTAAGGTGTTTTTCTCCAGATGACAGTCTAGCGATAATAAAGTTTGTAGGTTAGCAAAATAGATAATTATAAATATAGAAGTTTCAAATAT